ACTCCAACCATTTACTGGCAAATGCCATAATTTTTCTGTTCTTTAAAGCTGAGTAATATTCCATTGAGTATATATACCACATTTTCTTTATCCATTTATCTATTGAAGACACCTAGGTTGGTTCCATAGTCTAGCTATTGTGAATTGAGCTGCTGTAAACATTGATGTGGCTGTGTTCCTAGAGAATGTTGATTTTAAGTCCTTTGGGTATAAGCTAAGGAATGAGATAGCTGGGTCAAAAGGTGGTTCCATTTCCAGTTTTCTGAGGAATCTCCATTCTGGTTTCCATAGTGGTTGCACCAATTTACAGTTCTACCAGCAATGTATAAGTGTACCTTTTTCACCACATCCTCACCAACATTATTGTCACCTGTATTCTTGATGATTATCATTCTGACAGGAGTGAAATAAAATCAGAATAGTTTTAATTTGCATTCTCCAATTGCTAGAGATGTTGAACACTTTCATATATTTGTTAATCAATTGTATTTCTTTTTCTGTAAAGTGTCTGTTCAGTTCCTTAACACATTTATTGATTGGGTTACTTGGGGTTTTTTTTGGTGTTAAGTTTTTTGAGTTCTCTATATAGCCTAAAGATTAATGCTTTATTGAAAGTGAATGTGGTAAAGAGTTTCTCCAAATTTGTAGGCTCTCCCCTCAATTTATTGTTTTCTTTGCTGAAAAGAATCTTTTTAATTTGAATCCATCCCATTTATTGATTCTTGATTTTACTTCTTGGGCTTTAGGAGTCTTATTAAGGAAGTCAGATCCTAGACTGATGTGGTGAAGATTTGGGCCTATTTTTTCTTCTATTAGGCACAGGTTCTCTGTTATAGTGCCTAAGTCTTTGATTCTCTTTGAATTTATTTTTGTTCAGAGTGATAAATATAGGTTTAATTTCATTTTGCTGCATATGTATTTGCTCTTAAGATGGAGAAAAACATCCTAATGTGACCTAATGTGATCTTGCATGATTTAGGTGCTTGTTACCTCTCCAGCCTCATCCACCAAATGCTCCTAGTCAATGTAGAAAGGTACTTGAACCTCCTATATGGTCCCCTCATAGCAATATGAGGGTCTTTTTCTCTTCTTTCTGAAACATCTTTTCTCTGAAAAGCATGAAAATAATTAATTGCCTACTCATTCTTATACATCCAATTGAGAGTAAGTAATGAAGAAGCTCAGCAAGCTCTCTGAGAATCCTCTAAACATGGCTTACAAATGTGCAATTTCTCCTTTTTGTGAGTATTTGATTAACAATGATCTTTACTACTGTTCTGTGTGCTCCTTAAAGGGCACAGCTGCTTCCCAGTAAAACTCTGTTTACAAAAATAGAGGACATGTTGTTCTATTGTTTTAAAACCTCTGGGGCATAGGATACTGGCCCCTTGCTACACCCCCCAGAATTTATCCATATGCTTCTCAAGATCCATGGACTGAAGTCTGAGAAAATCAGCCCTATCTTGCTGTTTGTTCTATCCTAGAACATTATCATAACTCTTAGAGGATGCTTAAAATGAAGGAAATATATCACCTAAGATATTGGATAGGAAGGAGGAAGTGGAGTTGATAATTCTCAAGGCTAAGGTGCTTTGGTGCTGATAATCCATGAATTTCACGGGGAAGAAGCTATGCCCATTCACTTAAAGATCCACCACTGCTGTGTTTCTGCTAAAACAGAAAAAGCAGAGTTGAACAGAATTTATATGATTTCAAAGTCTAAAATAAATTTATTATTTTCCTGATTAGAGAAAAATGTAAACAAATCTGAGGGGTTTTTTTTTGGATTTGGAGTTTCTGTTTGGTGACAAAAATATTTTGTAATATTTAATTTCTTTGATTTACCTATATTAATTGGGTTAATTAATAGGTTGATGTGGGGGCGCTGCCTGCTCATAGGCTGAGCATCCTCTCTCAACCTGAGTAAGGGGGGATGTCTGGTCTGGCATTGCACACCAAGCACTGTGTGAAGCAAGTGGCCTCCATCTTCTATAGACAAAAAAGTTCACTCTACCTCTGAACTTGGGTGTTATCCAATATAATTGGACAACCACCCTTTGAAACCGTATCCCCTGACTTATTTGGTGAAGAACATTTCATTAAGCTAAATGTCCCCCCTAAAAATAAAAAGATTCTGGGTACACCCTTTCTTGCCTTCCAGTGTGGAAAAGGACCCTTGAGGTCACAGAGCAGTCCCGTCCTCAATCTGAGAAACTCATGTCAGTGTATTTCGTGATTTTTTCACTGTTTTCTTAGTTTAAGGTTGCAGCCAGCTCCTTTGAACTCAGTTCATCTCATCAGTGGGGGTAGCTGGCAAGAGTTTGAGTGTGATCATTCTTTATATGACACAGTGTGCATTCATCAAATTCTGTCATCCTTTAATGATACTTTCCACCCTTTTCTCAATCTCTAGTAATTACTACCCTGCTTTCAGGTAAACTTTTTAGACTTCCACACATGAGATAAAACATGCAGTACTTGTTTTTCTGTGTATAATTCATTTTACTTAAAGTAATGCCCTCTAGTCCCATGCACTCTGTAGCAAATGACAGAAATTTATTCTCATTTTTTACTAAATAGTATTCCATTGTGTGTATTATATATACAGTATATATAATATAATATATATAATATATATAATATATTATATATAATATATTATATATATTATTTTATTTATCCATTCATATGTTGAGGGAAACCTAGGCTAATTCCATATCTTAGCTAATGTGAATAAATCTGCATACACATGATGTGCAGGTATCTTTTTGGTATGCTCACTTTATTTTCTTTGGATTTATACCCAGGAGTGTGATGGATGCATCATGTAACAATTCTCCTTTTTGTTTTTTGAAGAACCTCTATATGATTCTCCATAATGGCTGACTAATTTACATTTCCACCATCAGTGTTCTTTTTTCTCTTCATCCTTGCCAGCATCTGTTATTTTTTTGGTTTGTTTGTTTTTATAATAGCCATTTTAACTGGGGTGAGATGGTATCCCATTGTAGTTTTGGTTGGCATTTCACTAATTGAGAATTTTTTTATATATTTGTTGGCCATTTTAATTTTTTTTTTGGAGTAGGGGAAGTGTCTATTCAGATCATTTGCCATTTTGAAATTAGATTACTTGGTTTTTGCTTTTAAGTTTCTTATATATTCTTCATTTAGCCTCTGTTAGATGAATGGTTGGCAAATATTCTCTCACATTCTGTAGATTGTCTTCTCATTTTATTATTTCCTTTGCTGTGTAAAGGCCTTTTAGTTTGACATAATTCAATTTGTCAATTTTTGCAAAAAAAAAAAGCATATTTCTAACCATCTGGGTTACTCAGATATAAGAGAATGCCCTTTGATTTGGATGCTTTTTGTGTTATTTTCACCAAATTAAGGGCAAATGGGATAATAGCAATTCACAAACCAAGACATTATGATTGTTAACTTGATAAAAGTTTTCAGGATAATTTGGTTATTATTTTGATTATGGCCTGCACACAAAGTGAACTCCAAAGAATCTGCTTTAACATGATCATTTCTATCTTCCCATTGAAAGATGATGTATTGCTCACATTTATTGTTAGTGAGTGTGTCACATTGTATGTAATTCAGTAAACATAAAGGTATCAATAAATTCATAATATATTCTTTTCAGAGATGAATCTCTGTACCTTCTGCTCAATTTGATTGTGAAGCCAGACTAAAGCCATTCTAAAAAAATACAATCCATAGAAAAAGAAGACTGAGTACATGCCTATTTCTAGTGTTAGAAATACTGATTTATAAGGACAAGAATGCAAAATTTTTATGAACTCAGTATTATCATAAATATATTATCTCTGTGAACCTATACTTAGAGGGGTAAAATACAACTTGTACTATTCTAAGTCTACAAAGTTTTCTGATTTTGGTGACAGGCACAAATGCCAATGGACTCTACTGATATTTTTGGTAGTGTTTCTATTGGCTTTAATAATGTTCTGGTTACAAATAGTATATTTGAGGGTTTGTCATATGCCAATTTCTACCATCATGAATGTACATGGTTTGAAATGACAGGAAGATTTACAAGAACACACGGGTTAAGACAGAAATTCCTGTAGCTGGGCACTGAGTAGAATTTTTTGAATTTATGTTGTATCCACATACACATATATTTTTTTCTTCCTTGCTGTTATCTGACAAGGTATACATTTGGTAAATTTGAGGACACAGGAAACATGATTTAAAATATTGTATCAATAATAAAATATTTCTCATGTATCTTTTGCTAAATTCCATGACTTGCAATAAAAGTTTTTTTTTTCCTTTCTGTTAGAAAGTAAAAGTTCTGTGGTTACTTTTTAACTTTGTCCTGTCTACAGAAAAGGAGTCATATGTCAGATCAAAGGGTGCATGACCCTGTTATCTCATGTGTTCACTAAAATTCATAATAAATTATAAGTTCGGCATTTTCCATCAAAGAAGAATGGGTCAAACATGATTCAACTTCCACTGTTATTTTCAATCTAACAGTTAGAATGAAACCCAGCAAGAGCTTGGGGCCATCTAGGATCTTCTGCTGTACAGGAAGCATGTGACAGGACCCAGGCAAACCTACCCTATATCTGCCAATTGCATTTCCTGTTGGAGCAGATGTAGCACACAGCTTGGTAACTTTGCTTGTACCTCTTGAGCACAAGGTATAGAATTAAGATCTGGATTTGAGATAGAACATAGAAGATTTCTCCCAGGGAAGAACTACCACTATGCTAGCCACCAGCCTGTTGGGAGTAGCCATTGCCTCCATCTGTCTTGGTAAGAATGTGAACAAGTACAGGGCTCAGGCTTTTCTCAGGCATGAAGGCCATGCAGAGAGAAGATCGTTGTTCTCCAATGAGGCTGAAAGGGATGAATAAAAGTCAATGAGATCAGAGCACTGAGTCCTCAGTCACTTTACCTTTTATAGTCCTGTGGTTCCAGATAAAGGATTTGACTCTATTTCTTCTTCTCTTCTGCAGCAACCAGCATGGCCCAGAAGGTAGCTCAAGATCAGACTGCAATTTCTGTGATGGAGAAGGAGGCTGTGACTTTTAACTGTACATATGAAATCAGTGATGATATTTATTACTTATTCTGGTACAAACAACCACCACGTGGGAAACCAACTTTCCTTATTCGTCAGGACTCTTACAATGAGCAAAATGCAATGGAGGGTCGCTATTCCCTCAACTTCCAGAAGGCATCCAGTTCCATCCAGCTCACCATCAAAGCTTCACAGCTCATGGATGCAGCAGTGTATTTCTGTGCCCTGAAAGAGGCCACAGTGAGAGGGCTGCCTGTGGGAGTCCCACAAAAACCTCAAGGAGAGCTAGGGCCTCTGGGGGGAGACTCTACCACAGAAAGGGAGGAGCAGGGGCTGTGTCAGAATAGGTGGGGGTTTGACAAGGAAACCTGAGTGCAGTTGATGTAGAATGTCCAGATGTTCACTTGTGAGAAGGATGTGTAACTCCTGTTTTTTTTTTTTTTGCAGTAGATTAAGATAGAACATGTAGTACATATTTTTATTACACATGCAAAAATTATTTTCAAAATGCAACTTAATACAACTTATTCATCTTGTGGTGGTTTATTGAGGTAGGGAAAATACAAATTATATTCAGACCTAATGTAATATTTTATTGAACAGTTATTAAAACTTCAGAATCATTCATACATTTATTATTATGTAGAATGCCTTAATCCACCTTTAATGTAATTGACTTCTGTTGAGTTTTCTCAAAAATTGAACAACTAATCCATGAAGTAAAAGAAATTGTTTAAATAGACCCATTTTTATAATCTTCCTTGAACAAGCAGAAAATATATGAAATATTTCAAATATTACCTCTCTTTTTTGACACAATTATGATTTTTAAAAATCTGTTGTGACTGCAAATTGGTGCAACCACTATGGAAAGCAGTATATAGATTCAGAAAACTGGGAATGGAACCACCTTTTGACCCATCTATCCCACTCCTTAGTTTATACCCAAATGACATAAAATCAGCATACTATAGGGACACAGCCACATCAATGTTATAGCAGTACAATTCACAATAGCTAGACTATGGAACCAACCTATGTGTTCCTCAATCGATGAATGGATAAATAAAATATGGTATATATACTGAATAGGATATTACTCAGCTTTAAAAAAAAGAGAAAAATTATGGCATTTGCTAGTAAATGGTTGGATTTTGAGAATATTATGCTAAGTGAAATAAGCCAATCCCACAAAACCAAAGGCCAAATGTTTTCTCTAATATGAGGATGCTAATTCACAATAAGGTGGAAGGCACTAGGGAAGAATAGCGTTACCTTAGTGATGGGAGGAAAGAGAATGGGATGTGGGAATAGAAATGATAGTAGAATGAAACAGACATTATTACTTTATGTATATATGTGACTGTATAAACAATATGATTCTGCAACATGTACATTCAGGAAAATGAGAAAATATATCCCATCTATGTATGATATATCAAAGTGCATATGCATTTGATATATACTGTCATGTATAACTAATTAAAACAAATAAAAATTATTTTCTAAAAAGCATGCAAATCTATTGCTACCTACAGAGGGAAAGATTTGTCCTGATCTATTGATTCTCTTGTCTTCACCCTTCCTCTTTAAGTTATGCCAGTTTGATGATGAGAAGAGGTCAAGGCCATAATCACAGTTGTCATGGCAACCAACACTAGATGGTCTTCCAAGAGTCAACTTCCTGTCTAGACATATTTTTTCCTTAGGTATCTTG